GAGCAGGCTCGGTATGATAACGAACAGTTTAATGCGAATGTTGACAAATTGGTTCTTATTATCTTGCGTTAACCTTATTCTCACTTACCTAAGTATCGATAATCATTCCATGTTGTTTTGTTTTTTGAAAACTACCTTAGATTCCATGCCTTATTATTGACTGTTTATGCCTCTGTCCTGAACAAGTGTAGTTATTGAATTGTTTGAGTGAATACGTAATCCATTTAAATACTCAGATTCCTGACAGTGTCTATAGCAAATATATATGTTTGAGAGATACAGGGCCCACGAACCTGTTGTTATGATTGCAGAACATGTGTGTATTATGAGAGAGATGTGAACTGTAACGTTATCACTGTGTACCACGACTGTGTCAGCCAACGACTTATAGTGATATAACTCACCATCTATATTTATCATACCATGTATATATGTGTACAGTCTGTCTAGCTGTAACATCAGGCCACTCTTGAGTCAGGTTTTTTAATTTACAGAACATGATTATGAAGTGAAGTACATTTCAACTATCGTATTTTACATAGTGATCAAAATACTTCACGGCTGCTGGTTATTTGTAGAAACTTTTTTGGTTTTCTGTTACTTACTCATATATCAATATCTCAATTATTAAGTTAGGTTAGACTCAATAAAACTAACAATGTGATCCGTTTTATTTGTTAACTACATTTACCAAATTAACACTGCCAATTAATATGAATATGCATCTAGTCACATGCCATTAACAAAGTATCAGTCTGCCGTAACACTAGAAACAGATTCGTTTACTTGAAGTTAACAATGGTCAAGTGCGAGGCATATTTGAACATGCGCAGTACATACACCGGAACCATGCGGTGCTGTTGGGGAATGACTACATGCAGGATAATAATACGGATTCATGCTAGTCCATACATTACAGTACATATGTGTACTTTACTATTGCGATGTATTCAGAGTGATTTGGTTAATGAAAATGGAAATTCAATGACGGACTATATGTAGTGGATGTGCATCAGGTCTGATATATCCTGTTTATCATTAAATATGCTCCATTCATTAACAACTGTATGTAATTGAAATGTAAGGATTGACAACTGCAAACTGTAAACCTTGACATTTAAGGATTGAATCTTGCTATGGTCGATTTCATGGAGTAATTAACTGAGTTGACATTGTAAACATAGCAATACTAATCTTTTCGCAGTTCAATAAACTCCTCTCAAGACCAAATCAACGCATCACTCCTACATGTGAACGACAATTCAATATTACAATCCTTAATTGTTCTAGGATTACGATTATACATACATTTATCCACAATTTGTATGCAAACTAACCATTTATTTACTCCTTCCTGGCAATATTAGTTTAACACTATTCATTAGTGACAAAGCTCAATATATAAATCACCGTGCATAAAGGCTACCTAGTTGTAGATTTATACACGTATAGAAATCATCTGTCTGACGCTCTTCTTTGTTTCAGATTCAATATTTTACGTATCGGTGGTACTTTAACTGCAATGGACTCAAGAGCAGCTTTAACTGTGCGGATCTGTATCATTATGTTTAATGCTAAAACAATAAAGGATTGTGATATTGCATTGCCTTTTACGAGAGTGGTGAATTGAGTGGGTTTTGGGAGATTTTAATGAACTGCCAAGCAATTACAGTAAACAAGTATATGAAAAGTTCGTGTTAATTAAGTTCAGTAAAGAATTTGTAAAGTTTTGTGGAGTTTTTTTAGAGAGATACGGTTATCTGATAGGAGAGACTTCAAATCTCTCGTGTTCACAGTACCATATATGACGCGTTTAAATAATTGCACGTTAGTTTTTATAATGGCAATGACGGTTTTATATTATTTCTGCATACAATGATATTTATACCTTTGCATCATCTTCAGTATCCAGGATGGCGGTGCCAAGATGGAAAAACTTTATTTTTTTATAGAATGTACAGACTTATATTTAACCACACTTTAAAGTATTAAAATATAATTAAACACAATCTTAATAGATATTAAAACATAATACACGGAATTATTGAATACTTAATACTTTTGTTTTTAGAATAATACACTTTAAAATGAAATGAAAAGAAAAGGCAAATGCTATGTTTCTCCAGATTTATGCGGAATGGGTCCGAATTTAGCATAAAAAGACATTGTATTAAACATAAATGGTTAACAATCAAATGAGGCAAAACAACAAAAGGTCTATGTTTTTATTGTCACGAACATGTCCTTGTAGGTATCTTTACATAGACAAGTATACTTGTATGATACAAAAACACTGTGTTATGTTCAATGCATCATATACAAAGTGCATAATATACAAAATATATTTATAGAATAACTTTCAAAACTCGATATTTTTTTCTCCTTATTCATTTTATACAATATTAGCAAAACATAATAGAGTTTGAACACTAGGGAATAAGCATATATCTAATCAAAATGACGTCATTTTTTCTTGAAAAAAGGTATCTTTTTAAAATATTGAAATTTGTTTTCTATGTGTCCAGATTGAGAGGTTTCCGTGTAAATGTAAACCGGATTAAAAAGACGTTTCAGAAGCAAACGAAGTAATGACAAGTTTAATATGTTGTACAGTTTCTTTCATAGTGTATTTTACCATGAAATCACAATCCTGTCATTCCGCTGACAAATTACAAAATGTATATATCTTATGTAGTTTTGAAACACACCAATGTTATTTGAATACACCCGCAATTAAAAGGACCATTATACTGTTTACATTAACCATGTTTGCTCTGTAAATGGTTTTAGCTTATTAATGTATTGTTTCCGGTTTTTGGTAAACAATATCTTTTTCATCGCCGAAATTGACTATGTGGAACTTCCCGGACGGGGTGTCTTCCGTGACAACCATTAGTTTATCGCTGAGGTTTAATGCCCAGGGACGCTTGATTCCTACGAAATTTGATAGGAAACGTTTATCTTTTATTTTTCCATCTTTAGTCAAGGTTATGATAGTGTTTCTGATGCCGTCACATACATAAACTGTTTCTTTGAACACGGTGAAACCAGATAAACCCTCAATATGTTTGGTCCATAGAACTTTACCAGAAAAGCAGATAGCAACGAGGGATTTCCTTACTCCATCTAACACTAGAATGCTGTCCGCTGAAAGCCTGCAAAGGTCTGCCGGAACAAGAATACAACTTCCACCCAATATTCCTGGAAATCGTGATTGGTAGCGTGGGCGGATGGAATGAATCACTTGACCTTGAAAGTTGATGACGTCGATCGATTTGTCGAGGGCTGAAACCAACATCCGCTGTCGATCGTACACGTGTATACCGATGTAATGTTTGAGCGTTTTCAACGGTTGACATTTTACCTCCAGGCGGGGCTCTACTTCCACCGTGTAAATTTCGTTCGAAGACCAGCACGTGACTAGTACAGTACGAGATTCCGGGATAAGTGCAATGTGGTGTGGTTCCATGATTGTTATTTTCTCCACGCATTTTCCGGAATGTACATTAAACTTCATAACTAAGCTGTTGTATTGGTCCACGACGACCACGTTATCTCCTAAAATACATACACCCGACAGTGTGAATATTCCCCGAACAGTCTCACCTACATAAATTACTCGGTGAGAGAAGCTTTCAAACAACACTGATGACGACACCAAAGCCAGTGGTTGACGATCCCGAGATACAATCACGTAATTGTCATCAGCTTCCGATGTATAATCAGCAGACCGAATTGCAACATCTGATGTAGGATCAGCAGATCGCATGGCACCATCTGATGTAGGACCAGCAGGTCGCATGGCACCATCTGATGTAGGACCCACGGACAACAGAGCAACATGTGATGTGTTGCCATCAGAATGAACAGCAACGTCTGTTCTGGTGTTAGCAGACTGTGTGGTAACGTTCTGTAAAGAAGGCTCTAAACATGACAAATCTGCGAATTGAAAAGATTCATTGTCAGATGTTCCATATTTCAGGTTACCCACAGCGCGAAAGTTGGTACTAAATTGTAAAAGTTCTGCATTTGTTTCCAAATTGAATGGAGTCGTACTCTTCAAAGAGGTGGCCAAGTTAGTCAAACATTCGTCGTGTTCATGCGCCCGTCTCTCGATTTCCTGTAGCATTTCCAAAGTGTGTAGTTTAACTCCGGTCTTATTGACATTTCCAAGATCCCGAGTCAACTGCAAAATATCATCCTGTATATCAGAAACGGATGTCAGAAAGTTGATGACGTCATTATCTCGTTGGTGAATCGACTGCAAAAGATGTTGCACATTTAGTTGGGCTTTGCTCCAAAACTGTTGAAGAACGTCCTGTACTTCCTGTAGCGACGCTTGTGACCTTGACTTACTTTGTTCGATGATGTCTTTATTTTGTTCTCCTTTTTGTTTGATTTGATTTACACGATTGGAAAGTTGATCAAAGCGAGACTTGAGCTGTCGAATCTTTTCGGTGATTTTATCAGAGCAATCGTCCAAAGGAAAACATTGACATGGTCCATGATCTATCCAAGCGCACGTTGCACACAATAATAACGCATGCGTAAAACAGTACATATCCTTGATATATGAATTATGTTTCGTGCAAACTTTTTGTTCATTGTTTTGTTTTGAGCCCGTTTCCAGAAAATCGGGTTCTTCAAGGGAGATGAGTGAGGTCTGGTCATGTTTGTGTACCGTTGTTAATATTGCCAATAATAGTTGATCGGACGGAAAGGATTCTATCCAGGTAGGAAAACTCATACCAGTAGGACAAACTTGGGCGGTTCGACATATAGGACACAAGATTTGGCCAGACTCTCTGCATTTCTGTCCATAGTCAATAAGGCATGAGAGGCAGAACGAATGATCACACGACAGTTGTCGAGGATCTTTATAAATTTCACAACAAATACTGCACGTGAGGTAGTCCTCTGTCAGGTTTGTCGCTAGTCGACTCACAGCCATGTTTAGTAGTACATTGAGGCGTTGTAGAGAGTTGTCTAGTCGTTTATATCATGCCTGTTGTGGTGTGACTTCGTTGCTACGGATTCAACAAATAATCCGTTCCACATGCTTTTCTAATTCTGAGCGAATATTTGTATCCCATATTCATATTTACAACTTACAACAAATATAACATATCAGTTCATCAAAAACTGGACGTCACAGCTAAAGTTCAAACACCAACCTGCAGCCGATTTCCGTCGATTAAAAGCATCCTAATGGTATTCATAAGACTGACGCGGAGAATCACTTCGTAAGTTTCATGTCCAGTCGGCCATCTTTGTTTTTACACCTCCCACATATGATTTGTCTGGTGACTATAATACAGCGTTATCATTGTTTGTACAGAGAGCATATGTCTAGTGTCACATGTAAATACAAGTAATACGGCCAGGAGTACATAGATAAAGTGGTAGGCAAGATACACTTCTTAACACAGTGGGTTCGGGTTACTTCGGGTTTATTGATAACACACAGGCTACATTAAATAGTTTTATGATGATAGAAAACTTCAGCGTTATTTAAGTTGCTATATTCAAAAAAAATATTTTTGTATTTTTAAATATGTAAGTTCTGTTATATTTGTATGAATCACTGCTCCACGTGACACACCGTACATGATTTAATTAGTGATAACGAAAATGTAAATTACCTGCTGATACCGTGACCAATGCGATATTTCAGAATGGTATAGCGCTTTATTAATGGGAAAGCAACACGGAAGTGGGATAAAGAAACGTTCATGTCTCCACCGCGGTGGGAATGAAGTGCAAACAGGAGGTATAGTATTTGAGGGGAGTTGTGTCAAAATAGGGTGTCTCCCTCATCATTTATCTACACGGGACGCCTTTATTACGTCAAAAATGGTACAAGATTGTGAAGAGATGTACTAACTCTGACGTCTAAATAAGGGCATTATGACCTACCCATCAGCAGCATAATGTGACCAGGTGGAATACTCTGCTATGTGCCTTCGGAATGGTATTTCAGTGATATAGCACCGGCCATTTCCACTATTTGCTTGACTAAGGGAACAGGCGTGTTCGAAAGCTTGCAAAACTTGGGCAAAATATTGACGAAGGGAAGATTTACACGGAGGAAAGATATTAAGTCAACGTTATATCGACCTTTTGGATGTCGTTTATTAATATGTCATTTGGTTGCAACGTATCAACTTTGCTTTTAAGAACACAACATTGCTAGATGTGAGCTCAATTTAAATCGTGGGTGTCATCGCTGAAGCAGAAAAAATTAACCTTCCGGAACATCTGGTCGTCTTTCTTTTTTTCATTTGCAAAGTTTCCATGTCCATCGTTCCTTTATAGTTTTATTAACATGGGCACTGAAGATGATTATACATATGTAAAAATCGCAGGCACGAAGTAACAGGCGAGATGATAATCCAAATTATGTCATACCATCCTATAAAAGGAGAGTACTACATATAATTGGCAAAACAACCAGTAGAATATGCTTTTGTGTAATGTGATTGACTATACACAAACCTGATTGGGAATATGTACGCAGAAGGGCAATATAATGTTGCTTCTATATCTTCATTTATAAATCTACCATACTATAAGTAATCTGATATTTATACATTTCAGCGTAATATAAACACAGTCACTTTTTTCTAAACCTAATTAGTTTACTTAAATACAATATAGTTTTCCCCGGCATAAGCTTATGTTTACATATTGTACGAAATCAGAAACAACACTTCGCGAAGGAAATCCGTGCTTAGAAAACATCCTCGAGAATTGTGATAAGATAGAAAAAGTCTCTTCCTGACGACGAATCACCTAGTACAGAGGATGTTATTTTGGTGTGTGTGACTAACAAACCACAGTAACATACACTGTCCTCATGCTGTACGGATTAATACAATCTCTCACCCCTTAACGCCCTGATGACGCATTAAAGCATCACCAGGCCTGGGCCGTATGATGCATTAATGTATCACCGGGTCTGGGCCGAATGATGCATTCATGCATCACGGAGGTGGAAATATTTTGAAACAATTTTGAGTTGATAAAATACGCAAATAAAATGATTTGTTTGTAATTATATGTGACTGAAATCATGAATGGACATTAAATCATTAATTTCAAACAGAAATTTGACTATAACAGCACATGTACGTCCAGGTATTTGAAATTCTATTCACAAGAACTTCCGGTCGGACGGGAGCAAGTGAAACAATCATTCCCGCAATAATGTTCATAAAGAACACATTTTGTAATACTGGTTCCAGAGGTTTCCAATGTTAAATAAATCATTGTTCAGTTAATTTTAAAATCAGTATGTCATAAAATGTGTGTGTGAAACACTGGTGCAGGTAACATTATAATTATTAGCTAATAGAAATCTTACCAAACAAGAGGCCCAAGGGCCTTAGCGGTCACCTGAGAGTTATATCATAGGTACTGGTAGCTTTATTTTATTGTTTAGATGTGATGTGGAAATCAGCATGTAAACTAAGTGAAATACAATACTTGTCATGTCATCAAAGGATAAGAATTTTAAAATATTTGTAAATGTTCCCTTTGGGGCCCCGCTCTAACCCCTGGGGATGGGGCAGGAATTCCAAGTTTACAATGTGATACCGTCATCCACCAAAGATGATTCTGACCAAGTAAAAATAATTTCCAACAGAAAATTGTCAAAATATACCCAAAAGTGTTGTTTCCCTATATAAACTATAGTAAACTTTACCCCCTCCCCAAGGGAGAACGGATAGCTCGGGGGTCCTGAAATTTACAATTTAAATAAAGCCCCTGATGATCTTTCCATCCATGCAGAGAAAATGACTGTAACACCTCTGAGTCTGAAGAAGAAGATTTTTGAAAAATTGGTTAATTTTCCGATTTGGGCCCTGCCCTGGCCCCTAGGGTTGGGGTAGGAATCCCAATTTTACAATTTGGTAGCCTAATCTACCAAGGATAATTCTGACCAAGTTTGAAAAAATTCCATCCACTCGTTCTTGAGAAGAAGTTGATAATGTAAAAAGTTTACGCACGACGCACGACGACGGACGGAAAGTGATTGGAATAGGTCACTTGAGCAAAGCTCAGGTGACCTAAAAAAGAAACAAAGACAAAATAATCTAACTTGAACTTGAACGCCTAAAAATCGTACTAGACCTTTTTAATTGATTGCCATTGACTTAAAAAGAAACGAAACTTTTTGACCCTCACTTTTAATTTCACAGCTGGTAACCACCTACAAGCTGAAAACATATTGATTCTATCTGAAGCCTTATACCTTACAATGCGTCCTTCCCATGGAGTCACAGTACGTATAGATTAATTATGCTTCGACTGAATATTTCTTGACTACAGTATGTAACGAATAAGTGTAAAAATTAAGAGATATTATTTTCCTTCTTAACTTTAGGTAACCAGCAGGTGTCAGTTGAGTGATCCTTGTTGTCACACCAACCCAAGGCGAAGCCGTCCCTCATACCACTGTAAATACGACTACCAAATTCAGGTACATATAAAGCGTTTCTATTATATGCAATCGGACGTGATTTGAATTTTTGAATTGAATTTTCTTAATGATGGTCACAAATAGAAACGTTTTCATTACAGATGTACCGCCTGTTGGTCATGTTGTATCTCTATTCAACGGCTGATCTATCAGTTTTGGCCACAACGCCGACTTTGAAAACACTTCAGGAGTCACAGCCACACATCAGTCAAAACGGAGAAGAGCCTGGGTCATTGATAGCGATAGTGAATAAGAGAAGATTAAATGAATGCTAACTTATCTGGCGTGTTTTGTTTTGATTACTCGGTAACACAACTTGCAGCTGAGTTGCATCACCACTATTCATTGATAAGTAGTCCTCGAAAGAAAATAGTCCATCATAAACAAATTGCTGTTAATTCCGTATAAAAGGTTGTGAGGAAATTAATATAATTTTAAGCGATAATATGCAAATGGAGAGAATGGTAATGATATTTTTCCTCAGTAAAGTTCAAGTTCATTGTAATCCTCCGCGCGAAAACACTGTATTTGTTGACATTCCTGAACTTGCGGTCCTTTGAAAGATGCATTGTCGATTTTTTTATGAATGGTGAATTCGAAACATACAAGGAAGTAGTATATAGATGATAAATAGTTTACCGCCGTGTTTTCAGGGTTTGTCGTTGAAAACACAGTGTGATAATCTATAATTAAATGTTCAGGTCATGTGGTCAGTTTCAATGTAGAGAAAAAAACACTGTTGCAATACACATTTTTGACCTTATATAAACAGTATATGCATTACAGAGGGTATTCTAGTATTCTTAAAAACAGAAGCCACCTTTTCAACCAGGTATACGCTTTTGTGCAAACAGCAATCTACAACAGTTAAAGATAAATATTTCATTTGCTTGACTCAACAGTTCACAATACGACCAGTTAGGCGCGTCTGCCGTTGCTGGACCATCTGTGTATGAATCCGTTGGATGTCAAGCAAAAGGTGAGGACAATGTATACTGTCCATCACAGTAAATAGTGTGTAATTTTGTCTATTAAAGAGATATCGGTAACTGACGCATTTTTTAACATTTTCCCTCATTTTATAATATATTATTCGATGTATTTTAATCGTTACGATAATGCTATTTTATTAACCGACTAATGTTGAATATTTTGACATAAGACAATCAGACGCAACGTCTAATCCATAGAGAACCTGCACAAAGTTAATATCAGTTTAACTACTACTAGTATTGTAAACAAAAAGCGTTACACTTTGCCTAGATCGTATCCACTTGCTAGTTAAAATGATGCAAAGCGTTTCAAATAACGTGCGTCACACATCAATGCATAATATACTAAATTAAGAAATATTGAAAAAAAATTATTATGATAGCATACTACAGAGAGTCAAGTTGTTGATCAGTTTAATTATCTATGCATGTTCTGTTAAGGCAAATTTAATGTTACTCAAAAATCAAGTTGCCAAACGAGTTAGATAGTCGTAGTATTCGCTTGTAAGTTCAAAAATCCGAGTAAACTTATTTTCTCTTCACTTAATACCCCACGTACACTTCCCTTTCGACCAAAAAGAGTGATTCGTATGAGTTTATAAATTAGTAAATTATAATTAGCTTAAAGCAGTATAGAAATGGCGTATCACGCCCTGTGTCATGAGGTAAACTAACTTAAAAACACATCCCTTTGAATCACTTATTCGTACATTTTAGAATAGTATGTTATATTTATTATGCATGCTAATTTCATGGGTGCTTTTCAAAGGGTATGAATGTTCACGGTATTAAAAGACTAGCAAACAATAATATAACAGTATATGTCCAGCTGCTGATATAGACAAAAATAAACAAGGTATTCTTTCTACAAAATATACATTTTATTGATTATTTTACAAAGTATATGACTATGATATTGCATAGTTTACAAATATAAAATTGAGTAAATTGTGTTGACTGACGAGATTTGTGGAAATGCTTCTATATTAAACTAGATTATTGGTTGAAGTTTCATATGAGGACAAGCAATAAAAATGTCAACTTATTTTGGAAGAAATTCCACTTTTAAGCCATGGTAGAACTTGAATTTTAAAGGTTGAGTTAATATACAGGCTAGAAAATGGAGGCAAACTCTCAGGAAAATACTGGATAATTAAGTGTGGTAATTATAAATGTGAAGTTCACACTACATTTGGATAAAAACTGTGGTAGAAAGTATCCGCTGCTAAAATCTTGCATAAAGAGCATATATACCAATTGAAACGCAATTTCCCAGTATAACATTTACATCTGTGGAGTTTTATGAAATTTAGATAGAATCTGTGCGTGTTTTCAACATAAACTTCTGTCACAAACAGACGGGCATATTACCCGATACCAATCCTATAACGGTCTAATACAAAAATATTTTAAGACAATGTATGTAATATTTCTTTTCTCATACGCGTGGATATCTTTCTAAACAGTTTTCTTTGCTTCAATAGAAATAGGTGCATGCTTCCTGAAATGAGTTATTTGCCAACGCCATGTAAGAGCTTTTTGTTTTTGCTCACTCGAATGGAATAATTTTATTAAACACAATGAGTAAAAATGTACCAATTCATCAACTTGAGGTAGTGACAAGTCTTCAGAATTTTCAAAGTTCACAGAAAACAGACAAAATCAATGAGATACAAGTTGTAAGATAATTGGAAGATTTCTTTTTCAATAAACGAAAAATAAGAACATATTTATATTACTGGACGTTAACACAAATACAGGGATCATCACAATGAAATAAAATACACTTCAGTTCTCGTCCCGAGATGTTAACATCACATATTCCATCGTGATCTTAATCGTGTTTCTTCTTCTAAAAGTTCTGCTTAAAATAAGCTACGTTTGCATTACCAAAAAGAGACTGTTAATACTGGTCTTGACAAGACCATTTGTGTTTGTAAGTTATTAAATTAATGAAACTCTGTACAGGCGATTCTTGACCAATCGCTATACTAACAGGGAAAAGTCAGATTTATAAAAAGGTTCTTAAAAGTTCTTAACAGTATCACGATGGTTCACAAAAGTTAGAAGTATATTAAGACAGATCTTTCAAAATTATCGGAAAATTGAGGTCAACTAACCTAGACAACTTGCCTGGTACTTTCTCATACTTCAAATGAATAATTAATACATGCCAAGGTGAAACGATAATTATGAGATTCTGTGAATTTGCATATCGTTATTATTCCAATTTGCGAAGAGGCCTAATATCATTAATCTAGGCATCATAGTTCCTCAGAAAATGTTTTCGGTTATTTGAGACGGGTGCATTGATAAGAACGAAAATGATGGCACTTCACATCAGCAAGCTACATGTACAATGTTACTCCTCTTTAAGTTCTGAAGACGAAAAGTTGACAAAGCATAGACGGACATTGGACTACAAACTAAAAACAGTTTTAATGGGAAAATCAATCATGTAATTAATATCATCCTCAATCATCTATCTCACTTTCTCCCATAACACAAATTAAAATTAGTCCAAGGAGTAACTTCAGCACGTGGAGGTATTCAACCGAAACCAATGGGCTGGAAGGGTGCACTATGGGAGATAAATAAGTTTATGATACAAGCCTTTTTTCTCAGTACTACCATAGTATGACATAGATTATTATCACAGTTACAAGGCTTGGTGAATATCAAAAATGAAATAAAACCAATATTCTGGGTAAAGACAAACAAAATCGTCATATCTTTTTACAAAATATGAAATAGAATTTTCTGAGATATAAACATTTGGCTTAATAATGATACAATTTGAATATAAACAACTTAAGAAACTACCTTTCTTAAAAAGTAGAAGCTAATTTAACATCGGTATCATCAGTTCCTATAAACTAAAATTAATTATTTAAAAAAAAATACAATATCGTTGCCGAAGCTACAGAATAAAAGTTTTTCTTATTAAACAGTTTTTATAGACTTGATATATTGGAGACGCCTTTTGAGGTATTCATTATAAATTGGTTATACACATATGGTCTTCATCGACATTTTCCTATCCCAGGGCTTTACTCAGTGTTTCACGAATGGGAACCATGGTTCGAGATTTAGGGGAAATGTCTGGTAGAAGAATTGGGTAACTTCTGGAATTACACCAGTTTGAAAAGTATCAACTAAAGGATAATTTCAATTCAGATATTGTTGCATTCTCCATATAAGCCGCAAAAGAAAAACTGCTTTGAGATTGTGAAATATTGAAAAGATTTTTGGGAAATAAAATTATAGCATTGTTTTCCTTAGTAAATGGCCAAATATCGGTCCCAATATGGCCCCAGATAAAGGCTAGACTGTGTATGTTTAATGTGTTTGAACTATTCCAATCATGATACTGCTCCACTATAATTACATATGACTTTTAACAAACACTTACACCCAATACATACGCAAGCTCAGAGCTTCAAAACACACCTCACAAAACGTGGCATGTAACAGCATTCAAATGTCGCCATTTTGTCCGGCTCTTCAAACTTCAAAGTACACAAAAGTTCAATGAATATATAACCATTCTTAAACAGAGACAAGTCAGATAATTACGGTGATATAATTGCAGATGATTTTCTTCGGGTCCTTCTGCAGTTAACCAATAATGAGTTATATGATAATAACAAAAATGATAAAAATGGTCAGCACCTGTTACATTTAATGCTGATATCAACATCATGAAACTGATGTGTCTCATGTCACTGTTACAATGCCCTGCTCTCTCTCTCTCTCTCTCTCTCTCTCTCTCTCTCTTAGAAAACAACCACAACTGTCAGCTTTCTGTACGTACCACTGCATCTCTTACAAGTCAATCAAATAAAGATGATAAGTCATCATTTGTTATCACTTTCAAACAAAACGATGACAAATCTGAATTTGCAAAAATAGCTAACTATCCTATGGTATCGATAAACATTACTTTTGTCTGCTCTAAAGAACGTAGATGGCTTATGTTGATAACCAGGTTATCATACAAAATGTCATTGTATTATATCTTATGTGTTAAAGTTGAGATGTCGGACCCGGATTTCATCATACTCGTCCAACTCAAGTCGGGCAGTGCCCGATGGAACAGATCGTTGAGGTGTCGAAGAAATCGTTGGGTCAGCCATTTTCAAGCTGGAGATTGATCCAGCACCAACACTCCTCCTACGTACAAGGGTCAAGGTTAAACAAAAACAGGAAATGACATTACGTGACTGTTACTCATGTGATGGAAGCTGTGGGTGGACCAGAGTGGACCAGAGTGCATGGTGCAAAGTGTCGGATATATCCATTATCAGTTCAATTCAGTTATTTTTTCATATGAAGTGTGCAAACATTTCTCTCTCTTTTTTATGGTATACTAGGTGAAAATTTCAAACAAATTCATCAGTGAAATTAAATAGCACACACCTTTGCATGTAGTAAAAGTATAAAGTTCATACTTTTCAATAGCACCTACCTTATAATGTAAGGAGGAAATGCGAGATATATCAAAGAACCGTATAAATTTAGTGGCAATTTTGCAAATCACAACCCCAGTTTAAGTTAAAATTGACAAATGGCAACATTTTATGCATTTTTGCAAAAGTAAAATAAACAGTAAAATTTTGCATCCCTTACAACTGAAACAAATCCCAAGCGGCGTCTATGTTTATTATTTTATATTAAATATGAAATGAATTTAGAATAGCCATGAAGTGCAATTTTACTTATTATCTGAAACCTTTTTAATCCATGAGCAACAGTCACGATCAGAAACGAGTATAAAATAATAATAATAAATGCAACTGTAAACATACTTAAAGTTATATTTCCATTCACTGGCGAATTTTTGTTAGTTACATGTATAATGGTTAGCATTATAGTTATCTAAACATACAAGAAAAGGGTTATTTTTATTTATATAATAAGCTATTGTTTTTTAAGCAAACACCAAAAGAGCTATAATCAGATTGCCGCTAAAATAAGATAACTATTAAAATAAGTATGTTTACAGTATGAAAACACATGCAAAGAACGGTGTGGAAGGTTAGTATTCTATCAAACCTTATTGAACCTACTCTCTAACAATCCAGAAAGGCATCATTAACAAAAACATGGATTTACCCCCCAAATATTTGCACTTATAATTAAATATAACGTTATTGAGTTAATTTAAATGGCAAACAAGCGTGTCCGATTTGATTAGAATCAACTGAAATACTAAAATAGCAAAACAAAACTATTGGTAATATCAAAACAATTATATATTTTTGCAAGAAGGAAATGCAACAGAAAGACATCAATTTAATAAAATTTGAGTCATCATAGCCACTTTCAATATTCAAATTGAAGTTTGTCTTTTACCATTAAGTTTGTTTGATGTTTTTATTTTGCATTTGTTTTTGTCGACCATTTATTGGCACTAATGACCTATCCTGTGTTGGTGGGCCGTTAAACATAAATGATAATAATTATACTGTAATCAGTTTGTTAAACTATAACTTAAATGGACTCATTTTACGATGTTTCTACTCCAAAGTAAACAGTTAACAAACAAACAACAAGCAAGCACATTCTAGCAATAAAGCCACATACAATAGGGACACCTAACCGGGTTCAACATGTGGACTTTGGTGCAGATATGATAACGTCAAAACAAAGCATTCATCATCAACACTAGTATTACTTCCTGCTTCAGATGGATAACTACAGAGCAGGCAGGAGAAACGAGTTCAGTATATGGGCAGAGCTACACATCGTTAATGCGATTCAAATAAACTAATACTAATGTTTGCTAAAAATGAGCACCTGCCAAACTCTACAGGAATAAAGTCATTTGTAATAAGGTAGTTCTACTATATGTTATTTGCCATTCAATTAATTCAATTCATAGCGTTTTCTTAGAATAAAAAGAAATGAGCAATTTCTTTGAAGATTGTTACTTTTATTTTTGTTATTTTTTCCCTTTTTCTCCTTTTTTTTTTAAATTTTTCATTTTTTTTGGCTTGCTTTCTTTTCCATTTCACAAGAAACCAACATTGTAATAAATATAACAACAACAAAACAGAAAATATGAATAAAAGGAAAAGAAGTGAACAAATCGGAAGGTAAATATAATGAAGTGTAATAAGAGAAAATACTGTAGCAACGGTGCATATTGTAGGGGAGGTGGAACGTGTAGGAAGAGTCGAGATGCTGGGTCACGAACAGCCATGCATTCCAGGTTTTGTGAAAAGGCTTGTCATCCAACAAACAGTTTTTAATCAATTACCAAGATGACTGAGCAATGATGTGGTAACAGTTTCTTGTCACATTCAATTTGTGGATCATCCGCCTCAAAAAAATTCTCAAAACCAAGGACCTCTCAAAACAATATGTTCAGACTTCAGTTTTGTAAATATAGTTTCATTTTATATATTAACTTACTTTATTATTTTGCTCAATAGGGTTAAATTAACACATTCAAAAACTTAAATCAATTAAGTATAAATTGATTATCATTCGATGACTCAGCTGTATCTTTTTGGGAGAATCAAATCATATGTCTTTGAAAGATTACACAAGAAGACGAAAGGAATTGGATAAACAGATATGATTTCAAAGTAAAAGACTTTTCTTTTCTGGAGAAATTATTTCCGGTATAATTAATGGTCACAAAATCAGGTAAGTGAAGTATTCTGTGTAAACATATATTGGTGACAAAAGTAAACTTTTTTTTTTTAATTTCACTGGTAATACCTGGTAATCTAACTATATATACCGTAATTTCTTGTTAAGTCTCCATAAACCTTATGCCCAATAAATAGATATTGAACTTGCTGTAGATTTTCAGATCCATTTGGAGCAGACAACAGCAAGTTACTTTTAAACAAAACATCAATCAATATGGGAAAAATTATTTGACATGCATATTTTCTCATTGTAGATTTGAATTTTTTTTTACTTAAAACTGAATTTGGATCAGAAAAACTGTCATGTGCATAAACCAATGAACTACAGCAAAGAATCTTGTTAATCTGGTCACTTGATATTAAGTATTAGCCAATGACCTTCAATCTTGATAATAGGGACGTTTTACAAATTTTTCTGTGTCATTTTTTTTATACATTAATGCATACTGTTTGTCATTTTGGACATTTTATATTAAAATAATGCAACAGACTCATTAGGTTCTACTGGACATAAAAACCACAAATTAGCGAAATTTTACAATAACTTTAATATGAGTTGCACAGTCATAAAATTATTGCCTTAGATCATGTAATCTCAATTATTATGATATTGTAAAAAAATAAATAGATTCCATCAAAATTGAAACAAAAATGCTGTAAATGAATACACCTAACTGGATCTGCATTTTAAAAGCACACTAAACCTATACCCTATCCAGACCATGATAGTAGACAGGACAGTCTATATATGGTCCTGAAAAGTACATAGGCTGCAGAATTAGTTATAGCTATTAGCACTAAATACTAAAACAAAACATCGCAAATAAAAAAAACATCAATGTTAATTGTTAAAGGCCATGTTAGCTAGCATATATAGCCATTTCATTAATTACTACAATTAATTATAGCTTAAGTAATCACACATCTATAATATTAATCACATACAATAACTGATATAAACAAATCTGGGTTTGCTTAAATATAAATTTGCAGAAATATTTTTTATTGAAATCTTCCACAAATTTTACTGGCCCTATATAAGTGACTGACATTGTTGATGCGCCGTTAAACAATACAAAAACAAAATCAACAAATTCTGCTTAATTTCAGATTATCATCATGTCTTAAGGTGTATATTATTAGCATTAGAACACAATCAGATCTATGAATAACATTTCACTAAACAGTGCTACTACAATTGTTGAATAACGCTATGCACAACATATTTTGTTTTCAGAAATATTTTATGTTTATACATTAAAAACATTAAAGTTATCTTTGAAACTTTTCAGTTATATAAAATCAGATCCAAGAATCATGTTTAATCAAATAATAGAGGCCATTCAAGATCTCATTAACCCTTTCATCACTGTAGACCATAATGGACTCATCCAGATAAATGCAGAGTAGAGTCTACTAAAGTTGCCTTGGGGTGAAAGGGTCAATATGCAAACAATTGTTTTCTGTTATCATGACTGTACAAACCGACCCAGAATTGTTTTAATGTTACAGTATATATATACACAAAGGTTAGCCAATTATATCAAATGAAAATGATATGACTACGTTTCATGGACGGATCTACCCAATATATGTTTTCGATATATAAATATATAAATTTGTAGATATTTATAGTTAAATCAATAAAATCTTAATTTCAATATGTCAGGTCATTTTGTGTTTTGTTAAGTTATTTTCACAAAGGACAATGATGAAGGCAATAGATTTAACCACAGAAAAATGTCATCCTTCATTCTATCATCAAATATTTCAAAGCGACAGATTTGAAAATATGTCCATCAATTCTTCAAAGAAATATCAATTCTTCACTTGTGTAATGATATCAAATAACTTACATAAAGACATGCATTTGTGATCTTTCGTATTTTCTGATGGCATTGAGAACAACGTTAATTATATAACCTCCTAACTCAATTAGCCTTAGACAAAGACATATTCTATATCACTTCTCCTAATTTTATTCAAAACAATAAAGTCTTCAAAAATTGAAAACACTGCTGTAGTATTTTGAATAGAATAAATCTGAAACGATTTTCGAAATTTATTTGAGCACAAAATCACGATGGTCCAATGATAACTACTTCTGACAAATATTTTGAGTTTGATTCTATAAATAAACTAAGAGCTTAAGTGAGTGAGATTTTATTCCTTCAAGGATACACAGATCCAGCATCGGAGCCGGGAGCTTTGACAAAAGATGCTCCGAAGCTGATGTCTTGGCCAAACTTCTGAAGCCAGCGTTTCTGTTCGGAGAGCTTATCCTGAGTAGACTGACTACTGGCCGGGTTGGTAGTCAGGTTGTCCTGTAGGGTCATCCTATACTGTCGTAGCTGGTCCCTGTAACAGTCAGTATTGGCTTATTATCAGTTTCACAAAACTTTGGAACAGGGCCTGTATCACTCACATATTTCATTTGCTGTCATAATTGGATGTAAGCTTAATATGGAAGATGAGACCACAAAACAGGTAAGGTCACATTACAAGTTACGACTTATATCCAGAAATTAATGGAGCCCCTTTAGAATTAATAGTTTTTAGTTTTGAGGTCCCTTCTATGATCCAAAGATAATTGGTATATAGACATTTGAAGTGTTTAATTGGTAGGTTTCCCCTTCCAGGAACAGCATACAACAGCCCAAAATATGAACTCTTATAAACAATATTACTGAATCATATTACAATTATTAATTATCCAAGGGGAATGCACCACTATACCAAATGATACTCACCGGACTGAATTGTGGCCAAAGGCTACAGGAGCACCCCCTGGTGGTAAAGAAGCACTAGTAAGGGGAGGTCGCCTGTCTGTAATGAAGTGAAACATGCTTTACCTACATTCTTCATAACATCAATATGTCAGGTACAGTAAATTTACTTACTTTAGTGCACTCAAGTTTAAGTGCATTATCAAACTTCGCCAGATTAGATAAACTCTCAAAATATGCAATAGACAAGAACTTCAATTGGTGCATTCATAATTAAGTACAATATTTAAAGTGTGAAAAACACTAAATTAACCCTTTCACCCCTATGTAACTTTAGTAGACTCTACCAGGCATTGATCTGGTCAAGTTCATTATGGTCTACAGTGGTGAAAGGGTTAAGACTAATATGAACAGTATTATGCTCTCCACAAACTACAATGAAAATGTTTTGCATGGACTATCTATATTGCAATATCAACAAGAGACCCAGGGGCCTTAATAGCTCACCTGGTATTTTATTTTCAATTTAAAACCTGCTGAGTACCATACAGGTTTTTTAAGAAAAAGTTGACGGACAAAGGATGACGGACGCTGCGCCATGGCATATGCTCACTTGGCCCTTTGGGCCAGGTGAGCTAAAAATCAATTACATAATTAATATCTTTCTGATATCTAATACAATAATATCAATTTAATTCATTATTAGATAATTATGAAGGAACTCTGCTGTACTAAGAAACCTTGTCAGTTTTGAGTTGGACAGTAACAAGATAAAAGAGATGATGTACAAACCTCCAAAGTACTTTCTCCATTTACGTTCCAAGGACTGCTCAGCTGACACGACGAGGGAAGCGTAGTCAACATGGTGTGATGGGCTGTTTCTGTCGAAATAATATATTCACAGTAGTGGATAATACACTAGCCTTTTACCAAGACGGCGGGGTTCAATTCCTCGATTGGACCTGAAATGGTACGGGGGTCACCTGCCCAACCACTTGGATTTTCTCCAGGTACTCTCAGTTTCCTCCCACATTAAGACCCCCGCACACACTAAGATCCGGCCAACAAGAGTGATTAATAAATCATAAAATTCAATTAAGTTCATTATTACAGATTTTAGGGAGTCCACGCTTGTATGGATTGACTGAGGTTTTAGGGGAGTTCANGCGGGGGGGGGGGGGGGGGGGGGGTGGTCAAGTCCTGTCTGAACTGAAACTACATATTGGAGTTAGTAGTCGTCCAAGATTGTATGGATAGACCTTGGCTGAAATGTTGAAGTTTTGGGGAATTTACACATGTATGTGCTGACTTCATGTTAAGAAACTCATACTTGCACATAAGAGTTTCAAGATGCTGTACTTACATATAGGGATTAGGAGGAGCCCAGGCCTGTATTGGTTGACTGTGAGGTACAATGGCTGAGCTGTACACACCGGTTGACTGAAGGGGAGGAGTGTACAGAGGTATGCTGTAGGCTTTTCCTTCACCTGAACCTGAAACAGTAAAAGTCTTACCTATGAATATGTAGAATATGTTTTCCTTCTCTGACAACAAGACCGGTGGTAAATTCCACCCTACAAGCACTTTTTATTTCAATACTAGGTTACCATTTGAAGCTCATACCTCATAACGGAATTATATCCAAGTATTCACTACCAATGGCTCCTGTGGCTTGTTTCTATAATGTGTGGCATTGCTATGTTTTTAGTATGATATTTACACATGTCAAGAACATTTTGATAATCACATGTAATGCTATGATGGTAGATGCTGTTTTCATTAACTTTATTCGGGAATGAGAATTTCCTGGTGTTTTGATTGATGGTAATTTGAAGAAAATTTGCTTCAATGAGATTGTTCTTGTCAAAGCTTATTTTTTTAGAGAGAAAAAAATCTCCACCTAAATATTTCAATAAAATATGCTACAAATAACATGAAATTTTAGTGGTTCAGTGTAAGGGAGATAATAGACTAAATATCAGACAATTAGTTATTATTTATAATAAACAATACATAAGAGTAAATAACCATGTGACAAAAAAAAAGGTTATTTCTTAATTCGTTATCATAGGATAAACACCTCGATATTTATCAAAAGATTTTGCTCTGAAATATATCAAAAATATAAAGTATTAATTCACCACAAAAATTGACTCTTATATTTCTCAGTGGATTGATGGATTATTTGTCTGCCACTCCATCATCTAGCTAGATAAATAAATATCTAAAAGATAAAGTCACCATATTTTCATCCCTTTCACAGAAACCCCACAAGCAGCCTTTACCTTGTGTTCCCAACATAGGTGTGCCTGGAGCACTGTTGGTGCCAATCTTTGTAATGATATGAGCAAGCTCAGTGTTAATTTTCAGGAGTGAGGCTGCGATGGGATCACCATCTTGTTTGACTTTCACAGTAAGAGGCCCCAAGGACTGGTGTTGGTTGTTTTGTTTTGTCAGTGCTATACAAAGAAAATATTACTGATAACAACCTCATTCAATTACTACAAGAAACCACAATTGTATCTGATGAAGTCAAATGAACATTCTTTCAACTAGGACGCCCGCCTCCTCCACCAAAAACATAAAAGTACAATTTATCTGCATATGTATTAAACTAGTAAGCTGATTTATTTTATTTTATTGATAATTTTTTATTTCTAAAGGTTGCTAAAATGAATATCACATGAATGACAACTTATTTTACAATGGATTTGTAAAATTGAAGTAGGACATAACTTCGTAAATTATACATAGTGAACAGGGGCTGATATACATATACCCTCCACCCTCTTCATAGAGTGGTCAAGTTTGGCCTTTAACCCTTTAACCTTGACCAGTGACCACAAAAACCTAATCAAGTATAGAACTTGATATTACCACACTATGGTATAAATATAATCTAAATCTGTGAAGGAGTTTATGAGATACCTTGTACATTCAGGAGTGGTCAAGTCTGAACTGTAACTATTTGACTTGAAACGTGGAGAAGTTGGTGTTACCACCCTATGGTATTAATTTACCAGTGATCTAAATCTACTGAGCAGTTTGTACAATAGTGGTGTTTTTTTAATGATGGGCGCACACATGCTCTGATAAACCGATTACTATATACCCACCTCCACTATGTGGGGAACATAAGAAATGTGTTGATATAGTAAGATTCTACCAAATTGCTTTTCTCTCTTCCCTTATGATTAATTTCTCAATCAACCCTTTTACAATTGTTTCTTTAATAAACAATAAAACATTTTGTACAATTTCAGTCTTCAAATTATCAATCATTTCAGTATATTTACATTTGCTATGCATTCTTCCATTACAATGCATTGAGAAGGCAAATGTTGTTATTAGACTAAAACAACATTTGCTATTGTGACATCATCAATTTCACTGTTGTCAACACTTAATTTGCTGTTCAAAGAACTGTTCGAAATAACTAAATAAAGCGTAACTACTCTATCAAAATGTAAATACACTTGTATAAGTAATGAATATTTTAGCAGGCTTTATTAAGTTTGCCATTAATAGCAATGTGTGTTATTAGACCATAACAACATTTGCTAAAACATTCAATGCTTAAATAAACAAGACCACATATAAGTTACCATGACCTTTGACCCTTACCCCTGATGACGTTGTCGAGACTATTGTCATTGCTACTGATACCACTACTGCCTTCGTCCTCACTGAGGTCAAGGTTAGGCATACCAGCAGGACGGTAGTTGTGTTCAAATGGTGAATAATCCAGGTCACTGTCACTCTCTGACTGCTTAAATGACAATAATGTACAGAGTCACACAGTGGCAAATCAACTACACTTATTATACAAGTCATTCAGATTGATATGTTCCGCCTGTGCCCTGCTTTGACAAACAATGCACATATCGATGAAATCAATTCAATGTAGACAACATTTGAAATTATATGTCTCGTGGATGACTGGTCCAAGTTTGGTTGATGTAGCACTTATATTTTCAGACAAACTAACTTAAAACACCAAAATGTAATGTTGATGATGATGCTGACAAAGTCAATGGACCATGAAAGGTAGGTCGCATCCAGAATGGGTTGATGTGTACTATTTAAGATGCATCTTTGGTCCAAGTTTGGTTGGTGTAGCACTTATACTTTCAGTGAAACTAACTTAAACACAAAAACTTAATGTTGATGCCGCCTCACTGGAAAAGCAACACCTTAGTCTCGCTTCTGCTACTTCATCGTGGCAAGACAAAAACTGATCATGTTATTTTGCATACAAAAACATTCAAACTTTTTACGATATACCCTTTTTTCCTTCTTTTAAAAGACAATTGTATTTTGTAACAGCAAGCTTTCCTAGCCATGCTGTGAGTAGCTCCTTACATGTAAACCAGCTCCCGTGTGGACCTGGGACTTGAGTTGACGTAGACGTCTCTCCTTTTCCCTGACGAGGCGGCTGCCCGTCCTCATCTGGGACTCAATCTGGTCCAGCTCAAGCTCCTCTTTCTCAAGGCTCTGTTTCACATCCGCCAGCACAAAGGCGCTATCTGGTGACAGGTTCTGGAACAAAGGTATGTAACTCTTAATAAACGTGACAAAATTATAATAGTGAAGCAATCTAATAATACTGTTAAACAAAAAGGAATTCCAAAAGTCTTCTGATTTGTATGAAGTGTATCTGGGTTTAAACTTATTTATTCCAATTTAAGCATATTATGGATGGACACAAGTTCCTGTCGTTGCCTTTTTAAAAAATATCATCCATTTTGAAACATTGACTCAGATTTTTCGAGAATCGTCAGATTGGTATCAATAATAAAGTCTAAATTTGTTTTGAACACTATCAGGAATTGAAAACTTATTTTGCTAGCTTTCAAAAACGTCTGTTTCCCTTGTCAAGCAAGAGTTGTTTTCAGGGGTTTAGAGTTGAGACACCGGTCATATGCACTCTTTGCTTGACAAAGAAAACTGACATTTTGAAAGCTTGCAAACTGATTTTTCATTTCCTGTCAACACCTATAACTTCCTTACCCCTTGTCGTTGTTTGACCGTGTCAACACCTATAACTTCCTTACCCCTTGTCGTTGTTTGACCGTGTCAACACCTATAACTTCCTTACCCCTTGTCGTTGTTTGACCATGTCAACACCTATAACTTCCTTACCCCTTGTCGTTGTTTCACAATGTCTTTGGTAAGCTCCTGACGTGCTGCCTGAAGCGCTGACTGTCGCCGTTTTAAAGATTGTCTATGTTTGCGCAGGAACTCTTTAGTAGTATTAATTGCACTTTTCTCTTTGGAGAAGTGTTCTTTGAGTTCACTGTAAGAGAAAGCATCACACAATGATATTTCACACAAGTGCCCATATAGATAATACAAAAATCAACCTGTGCTTAGATGTCCAGCTATGAAACTGAAAGATTATTTATATATTTCTACAGGTCAGAAATGGGAAATATATAAAAAATAAATATTCTTCAGTACTAAGAAGAATAACTATAAACATGCAATTGATTACTGCCACTGTCCACATAGCAACTTTTGTCAAAAACCTGGTTGTTCAATTTTGAGACAGAACAAACCAAAACATCATATATTAAGTAATACAGTTAGCAGTAATGGTTAACTTTATGTTAGCAAATTCAAAATCGGGTAAATTTATTTTAAAAACCTGCTGGTAAAAATTTGCTGTGGCAGAACTATCATGGTTTACACGAGTAAACTGTCAAATGTCTTTTAATTCAGTCATGGTTGACTTCATTAAACTTTCAAATATCTTTTAGCCCAGTCATGGTTTACACAATTAAACTTTCAAATCTCTTTTAGTCCAGTCATGGTTGACTTCATTACACTGTCAAATCTCTTTTAGTCCAGTCATGGTTTACACCATTAAAATGTCAAACCTGTCATGGTTTTAAATCTCTCTTTAGTCAAGTCAATCTTATTCACCACTGAAATAAGCTTGATAATGAAACAGCTGGATTTGAAGACAAAAAGAAATTCCTTCCTCAAAACTCTGACTGGATGGCAGATACTTGGTTAAATAGGTTTGCCTGTAGTTACGTGATAACAATGATCCAGAACCTTGCCTACCTTGAATGTAATCACAACAGATGGCATCAACAGAAGCACATATCTAGTAAGGGTGATGACAGAGACCTCACCAACAGGAACTGTTTGTGTCAAATACAACAGAGGTTTCCAACGTCCAATGTATCAGGGGAGATAACCTACCCACTTCTGTGTGGAACATGTCTGGCGATAGGAAACTCATCAAGGCTGTCGTCATCTGACAGAAGATCCTGCCAAACACGTCCTCCAAATGACGATACATCCTCCTCGTCTGTGCGATCATCCAAATATCGTATTTTCTTGCCACGTCTTTTTGGAGGAATATCTGAACAGGAAAGCAAACACCACACAGAGTTGTAACGCATATTCAAAACATGATGTCATGGACAGTTCATCAATGAATCATTCAACAACATTGAACACGAATGGTAACCTAGGAAAACAGCGCTGCTGGTGCTTCCTAATATTTATATATACTTACACTTTTAATTACCACCTTGTTTAATGCATTTTGTAGATAATTTTGCAGTATTTAGAAATCAATTATTCAGAGAACATAATCCAGTCAAATTAAAGCTCCTTATGACTGTGTAGATCACATATACAGGTAAACTTAACTGAAAAGTTGCTAGATGTGTATACGTAGACATTTTGACTAAAATATGTTGATATTCTTGTTCAGGAATACTATTGACTTGATTTTTTTTAATTATTTGCTGAAAGTTAACATTTGCCTTGTTACCTTGGTTGTTTTCCCTTCGTATGCATAGAATAGACATTTATACAGAAAAATATCAATCTTCCTGTGCGATACAACAGTACAATCAGACTTTGGTCCTTTATAAAATACATCACTTACCACTGATAATTTCGTCGTCGCTGAGTAAACCTGCCATTGGCGTGCGCCGTGTGGGTGTGGCCTTTATATCAGGTGTGCCATGTGACCTAGCAGCACTGCTGGCCCGTAGTCTCTCTTCAGCAAGAGACTTAGTCTCATCAGCAGCATCAATGATCCTCTGCTGTAAGCTGTCAAGGTCCTTGCCCTTACGCTCCATGCGTTCCTTCATGTCACTGTAAAGACACATTCACAACTTTCCTTAACGAGTTGACACATTACACTCAGTGATGTAAGTAACTACAGATCAATCATACTAGTCTTAAAAAGACATCTGACAGATATTTCTTTGTTTTTATTTGTTAAAATAAGTATGAAATGAAAGAAAAAACAGCAATTGCATATATTCTTTCAACCAGAATGTAATGGCAATAAAAACAAGAGGCCCATGGGCCTTAACGGTCACCTGAGTCTACAGTAATTTTTTTTTGTTGAAATATGTACCAATTTGAGTAAAAAATAGTATAATGTTAACTTAACTTTGTCAGGACCATGAGCTGATCATTCCTAGACCAATTTTAAGTGAGATCGGCCTATTAGAATTTAGTAGCAAAATAGCGGCCATGGCAGCCAAATTGTATTTCTGATTGACCCGAAAAATAACAACACTTTGTCAGGACCATGA